ACTCCCCCCAGTTTCTATACTGAGCATGACGTCACATGGTATGGGTTATCCCTGTGGACAGTTTGGGTCAGCTGTCCTGGCTGTGCCCCCTCCCAGCTTCTTGTGCACCTCCAGCCTTCTCAGTCGGTAGAGCATGGGAAGCTGAAAAGTCCTTGACTGGTGTAAGCACTGCTCAGCAACAACTAAAACATCGGTGTGTTATCAACTTTGTTCTCATCCTAAATCCAACACACAGCACTGTACCAACTACTAGGAAGGAAATTAACTCTATCCCTGCCGAAACCAGGACAATGTGTTAGCTCCCAGACTTCAGCATGCCGTCCGGAAGTGATACAGAGCAACTGAGAATGGCAGGTTTCTTCTGTGCTCTGAAATGAGGAGCACCGGTCCCTTGCTCAGTTGTAGATTCTTCGTCTCGTCCTTTGCAATAGTTTAGCTAAGGGACAATGTTCTCCATTGAGCTAGTTGTTTCATAGCATGTTTTTGGCCTTCATTTTAGGGAGCTGTTGCAATTTGTAAAGGAAAATGATGCCATAGCACAAGAAATTTCAGAGAGGTAAGTGGCGTGTCCTTTCTGGCTATCAGGCGGTCTTCTTCCAACGTATTTTCTTACGCAGCTTTTGAAGGGGTTACCTATCAAAGACAGCCTAGTATTAATAGGGTGCAGTATAACTGATACTCTGCAATAACAGCAAGAGCGTTGGAGAACTCGTAACAGGCAGGGGGAGTGGGAGAACAAGATTATATGCTTAGTTCTTTGGTTCAGATGTGACCCATGCCAGGATCCCCACTGAAAGCTGTCAGAAGTTGGGAGCTTTCGTCTCGGTATGAGGTGAGTTGACCCCTGGGAGCTGTGTCTGCGTTACAAGCATTGCGTATCCAGGCTGGCAGCGACTGGCTTCTGAAGCAGCACGCATCAGTGCTGCTCAGGCTGTATCTGAGATGTGAAATCTGATGTTTATTATCCCAGATAACAAATACCATCTTGAGGATAACAAAAGCACTGCAACTGTCAGAGCTGTGAGCGTGAATGAAAAGTGTGAAATTAAAATAGACGGTACAGAGCAGTGCATGTTGTTTCTCATTTGAAACACAGAAGAGTGAAAGTTGATATACATCTAGAACAAAACCAAAGACTCTTGTAGGAGCTGGAAATTGGTTCTGACTGTGCCTTGTGTGTCTCTAGGGGACGCCAATTCATCACCGAGCACTTGCAGATGGAGGATGTCTCTTGCTACTGGGAGCATCTGCTGTCTGAATATTCCCAAGCCTTGACTTACAAAGTGAAAAGGAGGAAGAGCTACAGCGAGATCACTTCTGAATGGCTGAAAACAGAACTGTAGAGACTGCCCTGTTTTTCTCTTCAGCTCAAACTGATCTCTGTGGAAATCTGAAGATCAGTGTATCTTCTTTCTTGTTCTCTCAGACTTCTTATCCTTTACGCTAGAACTACAGAGAACAGCAATAGGCTAACTTTGAAACTGCTCCCATACAGTGGGACCCGGTTATGTTGTCGTCCTAAGAGCGTTAAGTAGAATGTTGAATTATGGCTAGCTAATGGGGTGGTTGTGCTCGTCTCTGGAAGAGGGTTGTTAGCATTTGGGACTTAGTTACTGCCTGTCTCAGAACGACCCTAAATCCCGTTCAATCAACGAGAAGCCTTTCTGTTAATTTTACTGGACTTTTTACCAAGTCCTCCGTACTCGTGAGCAAGGTACACAGACTGTCAGCTACACTCAGCTGGGAGATACACGCCCCCTTTTTTGTGGATGGTCAATGTTGTCTCACCTGTGTGACAGCACATGGGATATTAGGTGTTCTCTGACAGAAGCAGGTGCTGGGATTTGGGGTAACCTTTTTAGACATCTTAGAGCTTAGTTTTCTGATGTTTATGGCAGGTTTTTAAAGAGGTTGATGGTAAGGCTTTGATGTGCCATTGAAAGGACAAACGTCCTTGCACAGTTAACTACCTACCTCATGGGGGAGCGGCCGGTGATGATGATGTTGCCACAGTGCTAAGCCTGAGTAGCCGACAGTCAAGCAGTTGGCAGCTGAGGTAAAGACGGTTCATCCTCCGACGGATGAGCTGGGTGCCTGCACAGCCATGCAGAACTGAGCCCCTATCAACAACCTCTCCCCAGTCGGCTGGCCAGACAACCTTAAGAACCCAGAGAAAGTATACGCAGAGTTAGTCAGCTCTTCTTTTTTTCCCCCGATGTTCACAGATTCTCTGCTCTGGTCCCCTTCTGTGATCCTTCTAGGGTTGGTTTTTTGTTGTGGGTTTTTTTTGAGCCTGGTAACACGTCTGCTCACTTCAGTTTTCGCTTTTCTTTCCCACAGCTGTTACACTCCTTTTCTCATGTCCTTCAGTCTGGTTGAGGGAATGTCTTCAGCCACACAGTGGCAGCTACTCCTCACGTTAACTTTGAGTTCAGCCACAGGTTGCTTGTGCTCGCTGTATTTGTGCCCACTACAGGCTGCTCAGCTCAGAGGGAGTGCAATTTCTGAAATGCTCTGTGGCCCCTGAGTTGAGGGGCCTGGTAGGAAGCAGCATCTTCTCTGGCATCCAGACAGGTGCTCAGAAGAGCGTGGGCAGCAGCACGGGATGCCAGGAGGGCCGCTGCCTCCCGGATGAGCACCCTTGACAATAAAGCAGCCTCAAGGCGTAGGAAGTGGCACATTAATGGAAGAGAAAGATAGCAACAGCTCGTGGTCTCTGCAGTCAGCTTGGATCAGAGAAGAAGAAAACACTACAAGGAACGATAACGCCAAGTGCACCTACACGCGTACGCACTCACACAGAGGCCTCGCAGCACTGCCAGGCCCTGGTACAGGGACGTAACTGCCAGACCTGTTCGTCAAGCGCCGGTTGCTGGAGCAGCACGCTGGTTACGTGACTGGCACCTGGGTTATCCCAGCCTGCAAAGGAAACAAATCGGGGTATTTCTGAGGAAAAGAACTGTGCAAGAGTGGAAGGGGTTTTCTGGTTTTGTATTTTTAGCCAATGGAGGGACAGCACTCTGAGAAACTGAAACAGCTATGTATAATATTTTTAAACAGTTTTTAATGTGCTTTTGGAATAAAACAAATGAAAATGAAGTTTTGTTGGATGCATCATCACTTAGTCAGAACTGTAATAAAAGATCTGGATAGCCCCCAGCTGTGTCCCCAAAGGCGGTGAAGCGTGTCCTGTTTTTTCTCTTCCACAGTAATATGTGGGCTGTCTCTGTTTCCAGTCTCGGGTCACCGTGGCCGGAAACTTCCTCTGGTCAAGCGCCTGTGTGAACCGGGAACGGTTTTTCTTTTGCATTGCTGAACCAGCCCCGACCCGCTCGCCCTCAGCGGGGAGGACAAGACCCTCG